TAATCCACCATATAAACAAACTGAAAAATAAAAACCACATGATCATCTCACTAAATGCCGAAAAAGCTTTCAACAAAATACAACATCCCTTCATGATAAAGGTCCTGGAGAGAGTAGGGATACAAAGAACATACCTAAACATAATAAAGGGAATTACAGCAAGTCAACAGCTAGTATCAAACTAAATGGAGAGAAACTCCCAGCGATCCCATTGAAATCAAGAACAAAACAAGGTTGTCCACTCTCTCCATGTCTATTCAATATAGTCCTTGAGGTCCTAGCTAGAGCAATATGACACCAAAAGATCAAGGGGATACAAATTGGAAAAGAAGAAGTCAAACTCTCAGTTTGTTGATGATATAATAGCTTACATAAGCAATCCCAAAAATTCTACCAAGGAACTTCTACGACTCATAAACACTTTCAGTAATGTAGCAGGATACAAGATTAACTCAAAAAAAAAAAATCAGTAGCCCTCCTGATAAAAGGGCTGGGGAAGAAATCAGAGAATCAACACCCTTCACAATAGCCACAAATAGCATAAAATATCTCATAGTAACTCTAACCAAACAAGTGGAAGACTTATATGACAAGAACTTTAAATCTTTGAAGAAAGGAATTGAAGAAGACACCAGAAAGTGGAAAGATCTCCCACGCTCTTGGGTAGGCAGAATTAACATAGTAAAAATGGCAATCTTACCAAAAGCAATCTACAGATTCAATGCAATAACCAAATCTTCACAAAATTTTTCACAGACCTCGAGAGAATAATACCCAACTTCATATGGAAAAGCAAAAATCCCAGGATAACCAAAACAATATCCTGTACAATAAAAGAACTTCTGGAGACATCACAATCCCTGACTTCAAACTCTACTAGAGAGCTACAGTACTGAAAACAGCCTGGTATTGGCATAAGAACACACAGGAGGATCAATGTAACTGAATAGAAAACCCGAATATTAATCCACACTCCTTTGAACACCTGATTTTTACAAAGAAGCAAAAAATATCACATGGGAAAAAAAAGCTTTTTTTAACAAATGGTGCTGGCATAACTAGATATCAACATGTAGAAGAATGAAAGTAGATCCATATCTATCACCATGCACAAAACTCAAGTCCAAATGGAGCAAAGACCTCAACATAAAGTCAGCCACACTGAACCTCATGGAAGAGAAAGTGAGAAGTACACTTGAACACATTGGCACAGGAGACCACTTCCTAAATATAACCCCAGCAGCACAGACACTGAGAGAAACAATGAATAAATCTGAAAAGCTTCTGTAAAGCAAAGGACATGGTCAACAAGACAAAACGACAGCCTACAGAATGGGAAAAGATCTTCAGTAACCCCACATCAGACAGAGGACTGATCTCCAAAATATACAAAGAACTCAAGAAATTGGACATTGAACAAATAACCCAATTTAAAAAAGTGGAGTACAGACCTAAAGAGAGAATTCTCAACAGAGGAATTTAAAATGACTGAAAAACACTTAAGGAAATGCTCAACATCCCAGTCATCAGAGAAATGCAAATCAAACAACTCTGAGATTCCACCTTACACCTATAAGAATGGCCAAGATCAAAAACACTGATGACAACTTATTCTGGAGAGGTTGAGGGGTAAAGGGAACACTTCTGCATTGCTGGTGGGAATGCAAACTGGTATAGCCTCTTTGGATATCATTATGGTGATTTCTCAGAAAATTAGGAAACAACCTTCCTCAAGACCCAGTAATACCACTTTTATATACCCAAAGGATGCTCAATCATGCCACATGGACGTGCTCAGCTATGTTCATAGCAGCTTTGTTTGTCATAGCCAGAACCTGGAAACAACCTAAATGCTCCTTGACCAAAGAATGGAGCTTGAAAACATTATTTTGAGTGAGGTAACCCAAACACAGAAAGACAATTATCACATGTACTCACTCATAGGTGGTTTTTAAACATAAAGCAAGGAAAGCCAGCCTACAAACCACAATCCCAGAGAACTTAGACTACAATGAGGACACTAAGAGAGACATACATAGATCTAATCTATATAGGAAGTAGAATATAGAAAAGGCCAAGATCTCCTGAGCAAATTGGGAGCAATGGGACATTGGGGGAGGGTAAAAGGGGAAGGGGAGAGACAGGGAAGGGAGCAGAGAAAAAATGTGGAGCTCAATAAAAATCAATTTAAAAAAAAGAAAACATTTTTTAAAAAACGAAATGCATGAATAATTCTATGCTGGTTTTGAGCATTGTATTTCAAGAGCATAGTGATGAGTTAAGGGTATGGAAAGAGAATGATGTTTAGAGTTGAAAATATGTACAAAGTGTGTCTTATTACCAATGCTTGAAGTAACTGATGATGTTGAGAGATGGTTGAAGCAATATAGTCACTCGAACATCAGTGATCAGACATTACAAAACAGAATATCTTCTGTGTGTGTGTAACATCATCCCACTGGATCATATTTAGGAATGTGATCATCTGAATCCTATCCTATGATCTTTGTACACATTATAAAAATTTCAAAAATTAAATGGGAATTTTTTTTCTAGAAACCTTCCTACATTTCTATTGGAAATTAAAAAATCTACCATTTCATACAATAAAATATTTGGAATGGTTCTTATTCTGGAAGCTGAATCTACTGTTGCCGTGTAATGCCAAATAATTATATATTCATACTAGTGTCCATCTGAGTTATGAATATCAAAAATTTAGTGAAATACACACTTCTCAGAATATTTTTAAGCATATTTTAAATTTTTTGACAGTTTTCTGAGGGTCTCCTATGGTGTGTTTCGATCATATTTACCCTCTTTCCTGCAGCTCTTCTGAGCTCCATCCATCCAACATCACATTCTGAAAATGGCAAAAATCTTCAAGACTCGTTTCTGCTTCCCAGTGTGTGGTCTTCCACTAGACAGTGGCTGACTTACCAGTAGGTGCAATTTTAGAAAGAACTGGCCTGGCTCTCCCTCTCCCAGTAGCTAACAGTTGCCAATACTCCACAGCTAGGAGTGGGATTTCATACCCAACCCGCTTCCCTTGCTGAGCTTTGGTCTAGCTTGTGCTTACATCTGTTTTGTGCATGCAGGCCTGGTGTTTCTGGAAGACACTCTTTCCTTGTAGTCATCCACTGAAGTGGTACAGTTATACCATGAAGTCATCTGAGATTTTAGAACATTGGTGTTGAATGTGATTGTGTTGACAGAACTCTTCAGCTAGGAAAACAGAGGCAAAGACACTGCTCAAGGCCCAGATCCCAAGTTCTGTGGCTCACATGTGGGAGATCTCCGCCATTTGGATAGGCCCAGGCCCTGTACTAGGAAGACTTCAGGTAGCACTGTTGTTCATGTTCATGTCTTTATGACCCTTTCCCTAACTTTCTAGGTCTATGAAATACAAGATTTGTGTTACCCTGAGCAGTTGACTGAAATTCCCACTTATGCTACTGTTCAACTAAATCTTAGTAGGCAGATGCTATTATGATTTCCAATCAAGAATTAGTAAACTTTCTGAGCATCACTTGCATGGAAATAGCACTGTGCATTTGCCCTCATCCTGAGCACTGTGCTAATTGTGCAGTTCTCAAAACTTGTTGTCCTCATTTTACAGAGGAACAAATTAAAATACATGATATGGAAGTTACAGTTCCTTAGCATTGAGCTCGGGGAGGAACTCTGCCCTTAATCCCACCAGATTTAAGGTGACAGTAGACTGATAGTAAGAGCCACAAAGCCAGAGAACGTAGATGATCTGCCCAGGAGTGCCCTGGTGAAGAGGTGAGTGAGTCATGACTTATGGCTCCAAACCCATTGTTTTCCAATGTAAATGTGCATAGAATGATTTCCTCTGTCACCCCATGTTGTCAGGGTTTCTGTCCTACCCAGTTCCCGCAATCGATATGTCCCAAAGAAATTACATGGAGGTCTACATTAACTATAAACTGATTGGCCCATTAGCTCGGGCTTCTTATTAACTCTTATAACTTATATTAACCCATTGTTCTTGTCTATATTAGCCACATGGCTCAGTACCTTTTTTAGTGAGGCAGTCACATCTTGCTTCTTCTATGGTTCCTCTAGGACTGCAGAAGGAACTTCCTTCTCCCCAGAATTCTCCTGTTCTCATTGACCCACCTCTACTTCCTGTTTGGTTGTCCTGTCTATACTTCCTGCCTGGCTACTGACCAATCAGCGTTTATTTAAAATATAATTGACAGAATATAGACAATTGTCCCCCAGCAACCCCAAATTTTTATTCTGACATTTGTCTTACAATTAAAAAGAGTTTATTCAAATGGGTAGTGTTAAAACTAATACAAATAGGCATGCTAAAATTTTTTTGACAAAATAGCTTGAAAGCATTCATTCATGTTCATTTGCCTACATCTCACTTTCTGTGTGATACCAAACAGTAAGTCAACTTCTTTTAACACTTGTTGGAAGCAGCTTTTGTTTGTTTGTTTGTTTGTTTGTTCATAATGTGAGGTTTTGGGGGTTCTGTGGTACAGACATGGTATTTTCATCTGTCTATTACGCATTATGCAAATATTTTTCTATTGTCCAAGTGAGATTTGTGAAAAGAATGTTCCTGATGTTAAATAGTGATTCATTCTTTATGATTAAGACAGACAAAAAGACAGACCAACACTGTACTTTCATTTAACTGAAAAAAACAAAAATAAAACAACAATAACAAAAAAAACTTGATTAATTTCACTGGAAAGGGAATTTAAATTGTATTGATAAAGTAATGATATCAAGTTTTCCTTTACAGAAATTAAATAAAGGAAAAATTTTTTCAGTGATTTTCTAGGATCAATTGTGCTTTTATCAAAATGCTTACTAAGTTCTTACAGCTTTGCTTTCCAGACCAAACTTTCTCTTCTACAGCATGCAGACCTGTGGATCTTAAGGAGAAGGGTTTGGATGACAGTCTACCTAAGTAAGTTCAGTGTTGACTAGTGTCTTTTTCTCTTTTTTCTCCCCACCAGCTCTTTCTCTTTGTTGTCTGGAACTTTGAGCTCTACATGATACCACTGTTGTTATTGTCACTGCTGACCTGGAACTACTTCTTAATAATATCAGGAAAAGATAACAGGCAACGTGATACAGTAAGTCTCTTCATTCTTTGTGTGTTTTATTATTCCTTATCCCTCTGATGAGATAACATTGAATTTAGTCTTATAAACCAGAGGAAAGTTTTTGTAGGCTCAAACCTAAATGGCACTTAACACAATAGGAAGTATCCGTCTGCTTCTGGAATGACTCAGTTTGGTAGAAACTAAAGAGGGGAGTATACAAACTGAGCTATGATTTAAAATCAATAATGGCTATTACTCCACACCCTTGTTTCTTTTCGTCTCCTGGTCATTTTACCTCATGATGGATCCTGTCCTAAGAGATAAGGTCACGTACAGACTTGTTAATGATCAGACCAAGTTACTGTATTCTACTTAACAGTTCTCTTTGTAAACTGTCATTGGAGAAAGAGTTGATGGTTCTTAGTCTGGAAAGTGTATTAAAGTACCTTAAATTAATGACTCTTCACTAACAATAACTACGTGTTTATGAGTCAGGTATGTTATATACTGACACGAGGGGGAGGACCTCTGACTTTATCCAGGGAATGTTAAGCTAAATCTGTACTTTCTTGTCCATTCAGAAATATTCTTAGAATGTGTGAGGCAAGAAGCTGGAGCTCAGCTGACAAGGGTCTTGTGCTTTATCCATGGGTCAGGCCTGCCCCTCCTGTGTTTATTTCAGTCACTGTAGTCCTAGCAAATATACCAGAGATTATTCCACTTGTGACTGAAGGGATACAACATCTTTTCCAAACTCAACATGTGTAATTGTGTGACCTGACAGGAAACTGTTGAAAAGAACTAAAAAGCAACTGAGAGTATGCTCTGCAGGTGAGTGTTTTATAGGCTGCATTTGATTTGTGGTCAGGAATACTCTTAGTTATTCGTGATATGGCATCAGTCACAAATATTTGCTTTATGGTCAGGAATATTCCTAGTTATTCATGATACGGCATCAGTCACAGATATTTGCCATTACTGTTGTTCATAACAACAGAATTATTTGATTATCAGTTCAAATTACTACAATATTATACAACACCTCATTGCAATAGTGGATATCAAATGAACTCACTGTCTTACCTGTGGCAAAAGAAACAAGCAAAAAACAGTTCCTTTGAAATAATTTATATTTGAAATGGCAACATAAACAAATTATATGTCTTCAAAATAATTTTCTCATTGTTAAAGTAAGTGATAAATACTAATACGCAACCATCAAGTACATGATAGAGTTGTTTACCTTCTAATGTGTTGCTGTCTCTCTTACAAGATTAGACTAAGTTTGAAGAAACAAATTCTCTGCTGATCTTCGCATTTGTGGCTGTTTTTAGCATATATTTTATAGATTAGAAATGTTCCAATTGTTTGCATGTTGCACGCATGTTGGCTGTGCAGATATAGACCCTGTGCCTGTGTGTCTGGGGGCCAGAGGAGAGTGTCAGATGTCTTGCTCTATTACTCGTGCCTATTGCCTTGACATGGTTTGTCACTAAACCAGAAGCTCACCATTTCAGCTAGAGTTTCCGGAAGAGGGGAGCCCTCAGCATCCACCTGTGTCTGTGGGGTTCCAGGCTAGAGTTTCTGGAAGAGGGGAGCCCTCAGCATCCTCCTGTCTCCATGGGGTTCCAGGCTAGAGTTTCTGAAAGGGGGAGCCATTAGCATCCACCTGTCTACGTGGGGTCACAGGCATATCCAGCTGTGCTCTGAGGTAAAGGAGATTCAGAATTAGGTCCCCATGTTACAGAGCAAATGTTCTTACCACCTGAGCCATCTTCCTAAGCCCTAAAACATTTTATATTGTAAACTCTATCAAGCGAAATAAATACAAGATTGCTAATAGAGGTTTTAATGGTTAAGCAGTATCAATAGACAAGAAGTTATTTTTATTGCTAAGGATATATAGTTAAATTGCATGCTAAGGGACAGGCCCAAATTGCTGTAAAAATTGATGTCTTGGGGACTAATAGGTAATTTTTTCTTCAATTAATCCAGAATTTTTCTTTAAGAAGGTAGAACTGTCTCCGACAATTACTTTTTTGTCCTGTTTATCTCGGGAAGATGCTGAAAGAGAAGAATATCTACTTTTCAGTCGGCTATCTTGAGACATATTTGCAAACAAGATTATTTGCAAATAAGAAAAGTAGTAATTTAGTTTAGTTTCTAAGTCCTATGGGATTTATCTTGAAGAGTTAGGCATTGGTTTGAGAATTCTTAGTAAAAAAAAAAATCTTAAACTGTAAAATCCATTATTTTTCTAGAACATGCCTGCCTTGTGTGGAAAGTCCACTGCCAGGAGGAAATTTTAATATATAATTTATCTTTGGTACTTAAAATTATCTGAAACTTTTATAAGTATATAGAACAATTATGTAACATATAATTTAAATTCCATAATATATATTTCAAACTGCCCTTTATCTCTTACAAAATGCAACACTGAAGCAGAACCTTTCCAGTCTTCCTTTCCAGCATGTCTGTCCTTACAGTCTTTCTCTTTTAGCCCGGACAACGTTTTCTCTCCCAGCCCAGCCCCTGTCAGGCACTCTATAGCTGAAGCCACTTGAAATGGAAACAATACTCCATAACGCCCAGTAATTGCCTTTTATTTGCCCAAAGCGCATATATCCACGTATTCTGCTCTTCCCAGGCACTAGAGGAGCAATCACAACATTTCTTTCAACTTCTCATTCACTGGCTCCGTTGAGAACTTACATAACCCTTACATCCAGTTTGTCTGATGGTGTGTTCTCTGGCATATCAAGCTGTGCATTTTAAGTGCTTTCTCCTTTTAAAAGAAAACCCAGATTATACTTTGTTGGTTACAGTTTTGTGTGAGTGTGTGTGTGTGTGTGTGTGTGTGTGTGTGTGTGCATGTATGGCTGAGTATCTTCAAAACCTTGTTGAGGCTTTCAGCATGTATCCAAAGCACAGAGGACCTCTGGGGTGAATTAGTCACACTGTTGACTGACCTGAAATCAGGAAACTTCCTGAAGAAGTAGTGGGAAGAGGGAGAGAGGTGGAGGTGTTTCTGCCTTGAGGGCAAACCTTAGAAAATTTAATTGGGATGAACATGAAAAGAAAAACAAATCAAAATGACTTTTAGATCTACACAGAAAAGAGAAAAAAGTTAGCATAATTTCATAGCACACTAAGTACATAGATGGGTGAAAATTTTGTCTTCAACATGGTGACTGAGAGTTGAAATTAATAACCAACCAGAAAAGGGCTTCCTTGTGTGTTTGTTATTTATTAAGCTGTTCAGCCCAAGAATCACGAGGACTAAGCACCCCCCTCCCCGACTCTTTTCCAACCAGTGCTTCTTGTTTAAACAGAAAAAGAAGACACTTTTTCTGATGCTTGGCTAGTACACTGAGATACATTTAATAGGCAGACCCTATTAAAAGGCAGGATGAGCAGACAGCTATTTCTGGGGGTTCATCTGCAGCCCCTGAAGGTGTCCACAGGAAGAGGTGTGTTAGAAATGGCATCCATCCTTATTTCCCACTCAGAATTGCGAAAAATAAGAAATGCTGGGTCTGAGTTCAGTTAGTCTAGGAACGTGATGTGAAAATTAGCAGTCCAAAAATTGTTCGGCTTTTCCAGAGGAGTCTGTTTCAGACGTGTGTCTTTCAGACATGTCCCTGGCATGGAAGGATATAAAGACAGAAATGCCAACCTTTCTCAGTTTGAGCCGTCACTCCAAAAACTGAGGAAAATTCCTCCTTCACTGCCTATTGGACTGGTACCACCTAACCAAATTACAGGCACTGCCCACAAGAACTGTCATCAGTTGAAAAGCTGAGACCAACAATACTCTTTATTTGAGATTTTAAAATTACTGAGCTCTTGTTTGCATCTCAAGATGTAACACTATGTGAAACACTATATAGGCATTGTCTAACTGAGTCATCTCTCTGGAGAACAAGCTGATTGGGTTGGGTCCTCCTACACTCTCCAATCCTGTACTTTCATATGGAACAATTAAGGAAAAATATCCCTGTGGAATAAACTTAGTTGCAGGGACTTGCCCTTAAGAAAAGGAACCAGGCCTCGGAAAATGAAGGAAATGAGTGGCCCATGGAGTCAGAGGTCTACTGCACACTCTGTGGTGTCATAATGTTTACTTTACTCACAGGGAAAGAGTGAAATAACTTACACAAAGGCACATACCATTTGTGTTCTTAACCAAAGTCATGCGTCTTTTTTCAGCTCTATTTTGGTACATCCCACTTCTCACTGGGCAGATTCAGCCCATGAGCTACAGCAAAGACAGCAGCACTAGCTGTACCCTCAAGCATACACCTTGATAGACATGCATTGACTTCCTCCCCACTCTGACTGTTAACCCAGAGAAATGGAGCAGAGATTCATTAAGTAATTTCTGTGCATCGGTTATCCTGCTGAGTCTTTTGGAGACATCACTTTTCTTTCATTCTTTACAATAATTATATTAAGTAAATTGTTCTAAATGCTTTTATCTCTAATTTATAAATGAGAAAATCGAAGTGCAAGTCAAACAATGATCTCCACAGCACAGTCCACGTAAAGTGAAACCAAGTCAACTATTTTCTGAAGTCTTGAGCTGGTTTTCATACTGTGCTCTTGGGCATATCTTTCTTGGGAAATCTCTGGGTATCCAGGGCATTCCACAGAACCCCAGAAACCCCAGACTCCTTCTCACAGGCTTCTCAGTGATCTCCCAAGGAATGACCAGACATCCACTCCAGTCCAGGTGCTGCGGTTCATTTTGGAAGTGTTTGTGGCTGCGGAGTGACTTTCTAAACCCCAGGCAAGCATGGGAGGCAAAGACGAAGCTGAATATCCTCTACGGCTGTGAAGAAAGTCCTGGAATTTTTTTGACATACAAACATTCTTCAAGCAGGATTTTTTAATTACACCTTAAAAGAACATTCATCTCCACTGTCATGATATGCCTCCTACACAGCAGTCTCTGTTGCTAATCAGTGGTGGCATGAAGAAGACTGAAGAGTGAAGCGGATCAATGAAATCACTCTGACTCACAGGAT